TTATCCAACGTCAAAAGTGAATACCTAACTACAAGTATAACGTAATCTAACGTGCTAGATCACGCATGATCTGATGATTTGATCTCAGACAGGTGTATCTGAACCTTTCCAGGATGAATACTCTCCGTTCTTCTAATGTCTGAATTCCAGCCAGGAGGTGGATCTCAGAATTTCAGAAGATCTCAGAAGTGATGAAATTTGGCGCAACTCTCCCAGATTGGCATCTCGTATTCCGGGAAGGATATTTTGTTTGAAGACAGCAAGCTTATTTCTCAGGGACATGGTAGACCTCCTGTTGATGAGTGGATACAGTGATCTTATCAAGATGTTTTGGTTTTGTCAACGTGCTCCCTGAAAATCAGCTTGCTGTCTAGTGTTAAGCAGAGGTAGACTATCTCTTTCGACCATTCCACTACTGAGTCGTTCTGGCAGATCTATTATTATTCTCCGATGGAACAAGTCTAGGAGATTTTGAGTGAGGAAGGATGATGACCTGGGTCTTTGCCGCGTTGGTACGGATCTTCCAGCTGTTAAAATATTCAGCCAGGACGTCCAGGCTTCTCTGAAGTTTGGCAGTCAGAGGTCCTATGACCCTACCCTTGTAAACGATGGATGTGTCATCTGCGAACAGAGACAACGATCCACCATCAGGGGGAGCCGGCATATTGGAGGTGAACAGGTTGAATAGGATGGGGCCAAGGATGCTTCCTTGTGGAACCCCGGCACCGATGTTGAAAGCATCCGATGTGATGCCATTCAGAGACACTCAGAACGTCCTGTCCGATAGATAGTTGTTGATTATCTTCACTAGGAAGATTGGAAGACCATACTGCTGCAATTTGAACATCAGGCCATCATGCCAGACGTTGTCGAATGCTTTTTCAACGTCCAACAACGCCATAGAAGATGTTTTTGCAACAGACTTGTTCCGTCTGAGAATGTTTATTACTCTAGTCAGCTGGTGGACGGTCGAACGAACTTTCCGAAAAACAAAATGTTCCTCGAGTAACAAGTTGTTTTCTTCGGCAGATGTTAGGGGCCGGTGGCAGACTGCTCTTTTGAACCGTTTTTATAAACCTGAGAGAAGGCTAATTGGTCGATAACTTGAAGGAGACGACGGATCCTTCCCAGGTTTCCAGATGGGTATGACTTTAAATGATTTCCAGCACGAGGATAAGTAGCCAAGTCTGAGGCACTGATTAAAAATCAATGACAGATGGTTGTAGAATCTGGAAATCAAATTCCAGATTCAGGATGTAAACCTGAGGCCTTCGTGTTTTTAGATGATTTGATATAGGCCGACAGTTCGTCAGCCGTAATCTCGTATTCCTCGGAAAAAAATATTGGGAATCTGATAGAGGTTGGTTGCGTTTTCAGCAACCTCAGCTCGTGAAGGCTGACTATATTTTGTCCGAGATTATGGGAGCTGACGAAGTGTTGACCTATCGTGACAGCCTTCTCTTCAGGAGTTATCAGATGAATCACTGGGTTGCCGTAATGATCCAGTGGGGTCAGTGGTGGAATGGGTATTGGCTTATTTTCAAGAATTTTGGTTAGTTTCCAAAAGGGCTTTGCACAATGTGGGAGAGAGCGGATCCTGTTAGCAAAGTCCTAATTTCTGAGGTCCAGCATCCTGGCTTGTATGGTTTTTGTTAGGCGAATACAGTGGGTCTTAAGAACAGGCAGTCCAGAGCGTACTGGCACGTGTTGCTCCCTGGCCCTGGATATCACCTCCTCGATAGAATGCAGACACTGGTCAACGTTTTCGGTCGTCTCCGGAAGGACACCGTAGTCGACAGTGGAGTCGACACAGTGTTGGAACTGATCCCAGCTGACTCGGTGATAGTTGCGACGGGAAGCTTGGAATCGATTGACGGGTGAGCTAACTTCGACCACCACCGGATAGTGGTTCAAACTCAGCTCCTAGTGGGACACAGGTTGCAAGATGTTATTTTTAATGTTGCTGACGAAGATGTCGATGATGGAGTGCAGGCCGGACCTACTCAGCTGGGTGAGAGTGTCCGGCGCCAGGATGGTGTAGTGAGCCTCTTAACTTGATATTTGGCGTTCAGGTTGCCAGCGATGATGAATTTTCTACGGCGTCGTGTTATATTGACAATATCCCTCCGCTGGTCTGCTGTGGATCCATCCCTGGCGTTTGCTTGTTTCGGGCAGTAGGCAATGATGGTGACGGGGCCGACGGGTGTGAAGACTTCCACTTCCAATACTTCAACCATTTTCAGCTGGAAACTTGATAGCAGCCGGCAGCAGATGTTGTTCCTGGTAGCAATGGCCACTCCACCACCCCCAGAGCTTGTCCGATTCAGCCTCACGAGCTGGATTCCAGGAATAAATACGTTCATCATCAGGTGAGTTTCGGTGATGATAGATGATAGCGATGTCGATGCTATGTTCGTTGAGGAAGTCAACGAACTCGATAATTTTGCTCTTGAGCGAGCAAGCGTTCCAGTTTGCGATTTTGATGAGCTCACGGTCCATAACTGAGCATGAAGGTAGCCACAGCTTAGAGCGGATTTGTTGTTGATGATTTTGGCAATGTCGTGCATCTTGAGGAAGATGATCATTAGTTTCGCTGGGGTGAACCAAGAGCCATAGTTGATTTTGGGCTACAGTAAGGACGGTCCATCTTAACGCCAGTATAGCCCAGGGGCTGTGGGGAGATCCTGCGGTTGTGGAGCAGTAGTCGTCTATTGACCTGATTTTGCAGGGGCTCTGGCAGTTCTGCTTGAGCAGCAGTAGCAGCGGTACGAGCAGCAGCCAATCGTTGATTGAGGGCAGCGGTGGCAACACTGGAATCGGTCGTCGTGATACCGGTGGGAAGTTCTGATCATTCATTTCCAGCACCTTCTTGTGGCCGGGGTGGTTTCTCGTCGATGCTTTCCTCCAGATCTCAATGTACTTGGCGCGCTTCGGGCAGGCCTTGCTTGTTGCTTTGTGAGCAGCACCGGAGTTGGCGCAAATGGGATCGGCTTCATCGAGTCTGTCGCAGGCGTCGGTTTTGGATGGTTGAGTTCTACTCAAGGTGAACCGGCTTCAGTCCATGAGGCACCAGCTCTTCCAAGAAGACGCCTGTGTCCATGTCGTATAGTCCTCGCAGGACCACCTTGAACGGCTTAACAGCCTCGATGTCGTGTGAGAATTACTCCACGTGCTTGGTCCAGTATGGACTGTACCGACTTGTAATATTTCAACGCCGGAACCATCAGTTTGTATCCTTCCGTGCTCAGCCCATCACGTAGAAGTTTATTTTTTCCCGCAGTCTGGGAGGGAAGCACCATTCTGTCCTTCTTCGACGGTCCTGTTGTTTCCGTCACCGGCTCTGCACCGTCCTTCAGAACGGAGAACCGATTATTGTCCAGCAGCTTCTTCGCAGCTGCCGCACTGTCACTGTTGTCGTCAATCCTAGACCGTTTCCCGGGATTGCCGGGACTCGCGCCACCGCGCGATTTTTTACCCATGGCTGGGTCAGCGAGAGCGTCACTATTCAACGCGAGAATAAAAAGAACAACACAATCTAACGAACGCGAGAGCGAGAAAAAAAAACGTGTACAGTACTGCTCAAGAGCCTTTGATGCAAATCGATAGTGGAAGCGATTTGGCAGATCCTTTAGTTGAAGAAAATTTCGGCTGCTCTACCTCTTCCACTATTATAACGTAATTAGTTTTCACCGAGCTCCGATAAAATCGACCGCAACGTTGAATAATAGTGCAGCTTCGGCTTGGGATCAACTTTCTGATGGCTGTGTTAGGGGTGAGCACCTTGTGGTTTCCTTTGGTTTGTTTTCCGTCGATCTTGTTTTCCGTGCTAAGCACCAATGCTACTGACGCCAGATAAGCAGCTCCCACACCTGGACCCTACCTGGAAGGCGTGATCAGAGATGTTATGCCTCAGAACATCCCGACGGTGCCGACTGGGATTGAACCCACGCCTGCTGGGGTGAGAGGTAATCACGCTTACCACTACACCACCGACGCCGCTTCCATATTGCTTCATAGTTAACTATTTAAATATTTAACAATTATAATGTGTGACATACCTTCTGTTTTGACAAAAAAAAAATAAATGAGATTTTTTCGAAAATCTCTGTCACCGTCTTTTAAACCAATCATAGTGACAGAGCAGCCTCTGTAAAAATATCGTCAGATTTTTCATTGAAAATGGCATTTGTCAGTCCTGCTCAGGCATGGATCTATACATCATTTTGCGGAATGCTGTTGAAGAAAAACAGTTAGAGGCAAATGAATGTAAATGAATGCACGAAATGAATGTAAATGATTTTCCATGCCTGGTCCTGCTTAAACTATATTCACTAGAATTCAGTAGCTTTCCGGTGAAGCATCAGTTTATAATGCGTTTGCACTTTGTTTGCTAAGCAATTTGGATAAAACGGTGTTTTACTTGACCTTACTTGTATGAACTGACCCAGTTTTTGTGGTATTTGAAAACCCCATTTTCCCTCATAATCTGTCAACCTTGTTTATGAACAGCTTCAGAGATAAAACAAGCTTTACTGTTTGATTACTCATAGATACGAATCAAGAGTACTAGTTTCGAAATAAATAACCGTGGTTACCCCTTCTAACTGACATTTCATTGTCGGTTTGTCACCAGTTGGATTCCGTTAGTTTGATACACTGCGACTCATTTGCATTTCTATCAAACGAACAATCACGCTAAGCAAACCGCTGTGCTGTGATGTCACTCCCCCTAGAAGTCAAGTTATCCTGAAAAGAATGCTACTTTACGCGGTTGATGATGTTATCCATATCATGCCTTAATAATGGGATTGATTAGATACATTATTTAAAACAAAATCACACCTAGCTTGTGATAATCACCAACCAGAAAAGGTCAAATGCGTTGATTCAAACTATTTTAATCAAAGCCTAACATTATCACATCCGTTTCAATAAATTAAGATAAATTGCTCTAACCTACCCTACCGATCTTTACGAACCGCGTCACATCCCTGCACAATCCCTCACTGTTCAAATTTGCCCCAGCTTAATCTTGAGCTTCCTCAGCACCTCCTCCTTCTCATCATCGGATTCTACACGCTCTGTCACCCGCGAAACCAGATCACGGCCTTCCTCGGTGCTAAGGTCAACAAGCTTCACGTTGCCATTGCTTTCCTCGATGAGCACAATGTGGCGAATCAAATCGGCAATGGCTGGCAGCAGTTCGCTTGGACCATCAATCTCGTTTTGAGTGTCATTTGGAACGGATTGCCCAAGGCGTTCCTGACGCAGACGGAACACTCGATCCTGCTCCCTTGTCGGAATGCGTCCAGCACGACGGGCTTCCATTTCCTGGCGGCGATCTTCTTGCGAGTTCGGAGAATTACCGAGCCGTTCCTGGCGTCGCAGCTCAAATTCCCGCCTACGGTCACTCATATTTTCCAAATTTTTCAGCAGCGTTTCCCGTCTCTGTTCGATTCGTTGCTGTCGCTCCTGACGCCTCCTTTCGATTTCCTGCCGAACAGCCTCCACCACCCGCATATTTTCCTCAGTAGTGGAAGTTCCTGCATCGCTGGTGGCTTCACTAGTTTGCTGCAGACTAGTTGCTTGCTCCGTGGTCACAGCAGCCAGGGTTGTATTTCTTCTTCGTTGAGCGTCAACTGCACTCAGTAGTACCAAAAGTCCCACTAGAGCTACCAACTGTGGAAATTGTTGAACTTAATTAGCTTGATTCACTCAGTAGACTTATTTTGATGTACGATTACCTGTTTCATATTGATAACAACTTTTGATTGGAAAAGATAACCACCAAAAATCAACTCACAACCTTTAGATGAACACCAAACAATCACCCTCACTCACTCGCTGTTTGAAGAAGCTAAACCGAACCAATACTGATACCCATTTGATGGTTGCGCAAACTTTTTATAGCCATAATTGTTACGATTAATTTACCGGCTAGGGGCTTCCTTGTACACGCTGCTGCCGCTGAGTTTCTGAGTCCGCACTGCACCGGCACTCTGTTGGGAAGCCAATGATGCTGAACATTGAGAACGAGAACAAACATGGATACCTACATCAGAGGGTGATTTACGGTAGCCTAGTTTGTAAAGTTGCTGTTCAACACAGTCAGCGAGGTACCTTATCGAACCGATCGGTATGGTTTCGTAGGCAAATTTTGAGCTCAAAATTACAATGCATCCGTGTTCCGGACGGAACTTGAGTGTTGTTGCTGTTCGGCGCTGCGTTGACTTACATAAAGGTAAAGGAGAACGGAAAACTGCATGTCATGCTTGGTCGACAGATTTCGATGGGAGAAATTGCACTTGAACGTGCGCTGAACGCCCCGTTCCGCTTTCAAATGGCTCTGATTCTTGGGTGTTCTAAGGCTCCTGGCAGAGTGAATGCTAGTAACTGAGTGGATAAATGGTATTATTATTAATTATCATTCCTCTTGCCGGTCAGCTGAAATGTTGCTTATGCCACGAGTTAAATTTAACTCGGAAAATGGTTCACAGCTTAAGTAAATCAACGGTAACGAGAAGAAGTGCTAGCAAACAATTAAAAATGCAAAATAACAACATAAATGCTTCTTCTTCTAGTTTTTTTTTATGCTCCTGTGGCAAACTTTTGCCGGCTCTCCACTTAGTAGTGCTCTTTGAAGCACTTCCACAGTTATTAATTGAGAGTTTTCTATGCCAACCAGTACATTAATTTGTTATTGTTTGGCAAGCACAATGATTCTTTATGCCCATGGAAGTCAAGAAAATTTCCAACGCGAAAGATTTCCTCGACTGGACCGGGAATCGGCTTTTTAATACCGTGCTTTAGCAGAATAGGCTATCTGAGACACCGGTGATTGGCATTAACGTGGCGGAACAGATACCGACCGAAAATTAAGCAATGACAAAACATAGCGGCGCCGGTGGTGTAGTGGTAAGCGTGATTGCCTCTCACTCCAAGGCCTGGGTTCAATCGCAGTCAGAGCCGTCGGGATTTTCTGAGGCATAAAGGGTGTCCTACATCAAATTGAATCACGGAAAATAACGCTGTAGAAAATTACCTAGTAGATCCTTTTCATACTTTCAGACAAATAAATATAACGCATTAGTAAGCTTTTCGCATATTTATTTCATTTCAATACCATAACCGTACGCTCGCACCTTACGCTTAACTCTGCTCATTAGGTTCTGTAAAACATCTGGCTGCAGCTTCTTCTGTACGGAAACGGACTTTTTCTTCATGTCTTCCTCAGATTTGACCTCCTTGGGATGCTTCCGTAATGCCTGCTTCATAATAGCCCAGTATTTTTCAATGGGCCTTAGTTCCGGTGTGTTGGGGTGTGAGGGGGGGGGGGCGTTTCATGTCCTTGGGTACGAAAGTGACCCTGTTGGCTTCGTACTACACCAGGACAGCATTTGAATAGTGGCACGAAGCTAGATCCAGTCAAAAGATCGTAGGGCCCTCGTGTTGCTTCAAAAGAGAAAGCAGACGCTTCTGTAGATACACTTGAGGTAGATCTCCCCGTTTACAGTCCCGATAGTAACGAACGGCGCACTCCGTTTGCCACATGAGCAAATCGCTTGCCAAATCACGTATTTTTTGGCAAACATTGAAAGTTTCTGCTTCCTTACTTCCTCCGGAACATCCAACTTGTGCTGGGCGGTGAAAAACAGTAGCCCCGGAAGCTGCCGGAAGTCCGTCTTGACGTAAGTCTTATCATCCGTGATGAGACAATGAGGTTTCGTCAGCATCTGGGTCCGTTACTTTCCCAGCGTTTTTTGCCGTTCGTCACGATTTGGAGTCTTCTGCACTTTGTACGTATGCAATCCCTCCCGGTCCTTGACTCTCTGAACGAAAGAGCTTTTTGGCCTCATTCCTGACCGATGCATAGGGATTCCGCTTAAACGCTTTCATTACATGCTTGTGATCCTCCTGATTTCGTAGTAACGTTTAATCACACGACTCACCGTCGACTGCACGATTCCGAGTTGTTTTCCAATGTCCCGATGAGAGGGTTAAAGATTTTCCAGGTGCTTGCGCAAAATCAATTCGCCACGTTGCTTTTCGGGTGACGCCATTTTTTTCCAACTTTCGAAAAAATGACAGCGATAAAAATACAGTGTAAACAAAACAATCTAAACTTCTTCTACCCAAATTTCAAAGAGAAAATACCCAATGGGTAATTTTCTACAGCGTTTTTTCCGTGATGCAATGTGATGTGGGACACCCTTTAAAACCTCTGATTGCGCCTTCTCTTCCGAAGGAAGTAAAGCCAATGGTCCCCGGTCTATGAGTTTGATGGGTTGATAGGTAGATTGCAGGTAAGGCAGCTGCCTCTCTGGCGTCGGTAGCATTGGTACTCAGTTTGAACATGATTTAAAATGTTAATACGTAAATCAAGTCCAGTGTTACATTGGAAGGAAAACTTCTAAAGCATGTATGCAGCTCTGCGGTCGTGGATAGTCGAGGTCAGTGCTGTAGTTGTGATCACCGGAACAATCCGGCGAAAAATAACTAGCGCCTCTGATATACATGTTCAGGTGAAAATTTACAAATACAGAGAAAATTGAAAGAATGGTAGAGAAGTTCACGGAAAAAAATGTCCAATTTGTTTTCCGTCGATCTTGTTTTTCGTGCAACCGACGCCAGGGAGACTGCTTCCACACCTGGACCCTACCTATCGACCCATCAACTCATGAAACGGGGACCAACGCTTTACTTCCCTTCCGAAGGAAGGCGTGATCAGAGATGTTACACTCAAAAAATTCTACACGTCATCATCATGTGTCTCACACTAAATTTTGCGCTTATTGTGAAACACATCCATTTCATGTGTGAATCTTATGCTTTGAACCATGCCTGAACACTATGGATTTGAATTGTGACACACTTGGATTCTATGTGCCTCATATGGTGATATCAATAGCTTTGCACATCATAGTTCAATATTCTACAATATTCTACTTTATCGACTTCTACTTTTCCAACCCTAAAAATGAATCGACAAATATATAAACAAAACTGCCAGAGGCCGAGAGCTTACACATATCTTTTTAATGGGTCTGATTTGGGATTCGATCATGGACTGTTGGGGTGTGCTGCTGAAGGAGTCTTCGTTCGATCCCACTGTGCCACGGTTGTTCTCATATATATGAGGCGGGTTGATAGGATAAAGTTACAACTCTTGTTTTCGATGTTTACCTCTCTGAGCAAGCAATTCACATCGCATTGAAATGCAAAACACTTTGAATCCATCTGTTTTGAACAGTAGTGTGATTCAATGTGCAATACACATGAATAGATAGTGAAAGATTTTCAACATTTCAAAGTTTGAAACACTAGAAATAAACACTTTGAACCAAGGTGTAATACACTTAAAGTATGTGTGATTGTTCATTTAAAAAAATCAAGTGTTTAAACACTTCGATCAAACGTGTGGAATTTTTTGAGTGTATGCCTCAGAACATCCCGGTGGCGCCTACTGGGATTGAACCCATGCCCTGGAGTGAGAGATAATCACGCTTACCACTACACCACCTTCACCGCTAGTGTATATGTGTAGTGATGTTACATTGAATAAAGCTTCCAGTGCTTAGGTTTTAGTCCCTAGGTTTTCCCAAAGGTTCTTATACACTGGCCAAAGGCCATACTTGCCTTTTATTTGAAACATTTATTTGTCTGCATCAACAGGCTGTGTAAAGCCCCAATGATGATTTAAGTAACTTATATAGGTAAATCAAAAAATAAAAACTAAGAATAAAATACATAAATAAAACACACAATCATTCACGGTTAACTGTGCCAGAAAAGAACGATGAGAAGTATCTTCGTAGCAGCTGTCGAGGCATATGGAAATCGAAGATGCCCGAGACTCGATTGAACACTCGTTGCAGCCCACCTATTGCACCGTTCATGCCATAGTTTGTGCGCTGAAGTGGCAATCTCAGCATAACGTTGTTACGTAGCGCACGGGGTTGGACTTTAATGTTGACTTGCCCCAAGATTGCACTGCAATCAATTCTACCTTGTTAAGTGTCCGCAATGAACAGGGCCCTAGAGGTGTCTCTTCTAGTTCGGAGAGGCTCCAGATCAATCAGCTGGCAACGACTTTCATAGATGGGCAGATGAAATGGGTCTCTCCAAGGCAGCTTCCGCAGAGCGAATCGAAGAAAACGGCGTTGAACGGACTCAACTCTCTCAGCACCATTGTTGTAGTTTGGACTCCAGACCACAGAACAATATTCCAGAATGGATCGCACCAAGGAACAGTACAGTGACTTCAAACAGTAGATATCGGAGAAATTCTTTGCTATCCTGAAGATAAATCCCAATGTCCTAGACGCCTTGTCGACAACGTACGAGATGTGCTGCTTGTACGTAAGTTGAGTATCTAGAATAATACCCAGATCTTTCACATGGTTCACACGGTCAATTACAGTGCCGATAAGTTTGTATTCAAATGTGATTGGTTCTTTCTTCCGAGTAAAAGTGATCACTGAACACTTAGTGGGGTTAACCACCATTCGGTTCAAATTACACCAGCTGGCAAAGGCTTCGAACTGACGTTGAAGGAAGTGACAGTCATCAATCGAGTGGATTCGTAGGTAGATTTTAAGATCGTCTGCATACGATAGTCGTGGACCTTCGATGACCAAGTTCACGTCATTGAAGTAGAGTAAGAAAATCAAAGGTCCCAGGTGACTTCCTTGAGGTATTCCTGATGTAGCTAGATAGATATTGGACCGGTTGTCACCAATGGCAACCATCAGTTGCCGATCAGTGAGATATGAACGAAACCATCGCAAGAGGTTGCCGCTGACCCCAAGTCTATGCAACTTGGCAATCGCGATGGCATG